CCGAACTCCCCGAAGCCCACGCAGGGACCTATGATCACTTGCACGGAAATGATGAGCCAAAGTAACAGATTGCCAAGGAGAGCCTCCCGTACATGGGGTCGAACCCCAGAGTGACATGCGTTTTCCCTTGAATTCTTTCATATCAGCACGTGCCAGAAATTTACCCGCATCAGTTTTCATGTCCCGTGCTCGGTATATCGTATAACCCTACACGACGTATCAACAAAATTTGTAGGATGCCCGATTCTACAGGTGGGCCCGCAGCAGTACTCGAGCATCAATCGTTCACCGTTCCATTCGCGTGTAATCATCAAGTGGTCCTTCCTTTGCTGCAATGTCGACTGAGTCAACCCATTGTTTTGCGATTCGGCTGCAGCCGCGCCAATAATATTACTATCTTTCGCCACTGTTTTCCCGTATCTCTTGAATACTGGAAATGTGTATTTGTATATCCGAAGCGTCGGATTCGCTGTCAGTCATATCAAACATGGCCATCATGCCTTTGTCTTCTCTCGATTCGCGCTTATGGGAGCTTTTCCTGGAACCTTCTTTTTGCGTCGCGGAGGGCACTGCGCCGCATGCATGTTCGGCTCTGCCGCGGGCACCGACGACGGCAACGCCAATCCACGCACTCTCTCTCTCCCCCTCTCTCTCTCTCTCTCTCTCTCTCTCTCTCTCTGGGACTTCGCCCCCTGCTCCAGCCCGGCGCACCTTGTCCTGTGCAAGATCTTCGGCAGCGCCTGTGCTCTGAGCCCCCCGGCAGCCCGAGGCCCCGCCCGCCCGCGCCCTGTCTCCCCAATTAGGGCGACGCACGCCCCGTTTAGCCCCTGACCGGAAGGGGCCCGCCCCCGACCCGCAGACCAAAAATGTTCGGCTCTGCCGCACCTGCAATGGGACCCTGCGTCCTACCTGTACCCATTGGGGCTTGTCCCCACGTGAGCACCCTGGCGCAGGCTGACGCGACTTCGGCTGGCGCGGGATGCCGGCCTCTCTCCTCCCCGTTCGCTTCGCCCCCCCCCCCCCCCGCTCGCCCCCCCCCTCCCACGGCGGCGGCGCTCGGCGCCGCGCGGCTTCGGCCCGGTGCTGGGCACTGCACCTTGCCGCTTCGGCGGCCCCGCTTGCCTTGGGCAGCGCGGCTCAGGCCCGGCCCTTGGCCACGCGATCGTCAGCGCATCGCGCGCGGCCCCCGCCCGTCTTCACACGCTGACCGCGCAGGTCAGGTTTCCTCCCTGTACACCACCGACATCCAGTCTGGCACGGACGGCCCTGATTCTGGCCGCACCTCTTGCTGGCTGCTCCCTGGACGTGGATTGGACTACCACCCCAGGCCGCACATCGCCTTTGTCGCCCTCCTCATCTCCTGGGCCCCTCCTCACCATCTGGTGGCACAACGTTACTCGTCGCCTTCATGGTGGACTTCTCCCCCCTGGACGTCGACCTGTTCGCGTTCATCCTCACGCAGCACTTGAGGACGGTGTTTTCGATGCGCCGTCGACGGCAACACCACGCCGCTCACCCTCCGGGACTTCACCTCTGGCCCCTGTCCAAGGCGTTCCTTTTCCTGTGCAAGCTCCCCAGCACCGCCTGCACCCCGCGCCCTTCGGCCGCCCGAAGCCCCCCCGCCCGCGCTCTGTCTCCCCAATTAGTGCCTTGCGCGGTCCACCTAGCTCTTAACCAGAAGAGGCTCTCTCTCTCTCTCTCTCTCTCTCTCTCTCTCTCTCGACCCGCAGACCAAAAAAGTTCTGCTCTGCCGCATGCATACATGACACCTTGCGCTGCGACCGCAGCTGCGCTGGGAGCTGGCATCGGACGCACGGTTAGACCACTAGACATGGTTGCACCAGCTCGCGGTGCAACTGGCCCCATTCAACATGTCTGCTTCAGGTATTGTCGTCGCGGGCTTGCCTCTAGTGGCCCCCTTCTGTTTATGCTTTTTTGGTTTGGCACAATAGCTCCTTGGCGCACCACCGCCTCGGCACCTATCCGCGGCCCGAGAACCCCCCTCGGGTTTCTGGGGAAGGCCATCAGAGAACATAGACGCCAGGTAGTCCTGGTGGCGAGTGACTTTCCAAAACATGGGAGCAACGATACTAACGAGGCAAAGCACTTTGACCCATGTTAGTGAGTATGTAAAACGCTTGGCCCCAATATCAGCGGCTTCGTTTTGTGTGTGCTCGCGCTGCAGATCAACTATTCCTAGCGTGAGTTGTTCGGAAATGGAAGCTGCATCTAGTCGATGTGTTCATGGGAAGTGCATTAACTTCATCGGGCCCCCCGTTTTGGTGACTTTGCACACTGCTTGTTTATCTTCCATGAACGTGCATTTGACTCCTCTTTGTAGCAGGATCTCCCACAAGGGCAGCGCAAGTAAAAAAAATGTCCGCAGCGCCAGATCTGCCGCAACAATTTCTGCTCCAAGTGTACTGTGGGACATGCAGGTTTGTCTACGAGAGGCCATGCTCTCGTTGGCCCTCGCGCAAGCTGTCCAATTAATTTTGCGACGGGCATAAGTGCTTCGATGCGTTCGCACATCGCTGGCCAGATCAGCATCCGAATGTTGCTTCACTGTAATATATCCCATCCTATCGCCAAACCACGGTGGTATCATTATGTAGTGAGTGGTCGATTGAAAATAACATACTGAGCGAAAAAGATCCACGTCTTGCTGCTCTGTCCACTTAGTGATGCAGCTAGCTGCGTGACGCACTGCTCGCAGAAGGTCGAATCGAGCCATTCTCGCCCCGTATAATAAAATCTTGGCGGCAATCGGCGGAAGCACACCCGACGGAGTCGGTGGCTCTGGATCATCTGGGCCAGGTTCTGCGGCTACGCCGTGAACCTCGACCGGCTTGTCCGGAGGACCGGAGTCAACATTGAGTTTCAGCGCTTTCGCCAATGCTTCCTCTGCTGGGGGGTATCTCTCACCTCTCGGACCCCCCTGTCCATCTTCAAAATCAATAAGCTCAGGGCCGAAAGGTGCACCCGCAGCAAGGTATCTTGTGGGGTCAATGCAGTCAACTGTGCATGCAAAGTGACACATGACTCAAAAAAATCTCCACGTCGTATTCAATGGCTCTGACCATCCTTGGTTCTATAGGCTGATGGGGCTCAGCCGGCTGCGCCGATGAGTCACCCCCGCATGCTAGTCAGCGCTCTCCACTTCTTGCCCAGACGCGGACGGCTTCTTGATTCTCGGTGGCGGCGGGTCAAGCGCCGCGGGTAGCTATCCTTGCCATTATGTTTGCTGTTTGGACAAATGATGTTCACAGCCTAGGTAACGCCCCACATCTGTATACCCTTGAGGCATCCCGCGCATGGCTCCTGTAAAGATATCCACCCTTTATCGGGAGTAGCTTCTGGTCCAGCAGGTTCGAAACCATCAACATAGAATATGAAGCACAAGCGCAGCTTCGGATGGAAGTAACAGCTACGCCAAGGACTACACTTGATAAAAACCTTTTGATACAACATGCCCCTCACAATGTTGTTCCCAATATCACCCAGAGTCGGGCTGTCCGCACAGCGAAAGGATAAGCGGGCACACAGAGTTGCGCATGTCCCTCCAGGCAGGCGGCCACTCGTCACGCGGCCAGAAGATCCATCTCGGAGTTCCGCCGAGCTTGGATTGCGCGTAGGCCCTGGCGTCAGCCCGTTGAAGGTCATGTCCCTCGAACAGGCCGCATGCGTCTGCTGCTTTACTAGCCTGCATGCCCAAGACAGCCCCAGAGGGTCCCAAGGGGGTCCATGGGGCCTCCTAGACAGTCTAGGAACTCTTCAAGAGGACCTCCAGGAGAGCCCGAAATGCCCAAATGGTTGTATTATCTTCAATTGTTGAATAATTTGGGCGCGTTTTCTTTTTCGGCTGTCCGACGGCCCAAGATGTCCACAAGATGGCCCCAAGACTGCCCAAGCTGACTTAAAGATGGCCCCAAAAAGACCCCAAAGGGCGAGGAAACAATCTAAGAGGAAGGGCAAGAGAAAAGGACGGAATCAGAAGCCCGAAGCGGCTCCGAGAAGCCTGCAGCTCGGCGCGGGCTCGTCTGCGGACGCCCTTTCCCCCCCCCCCCCAGGAAAAACACGCCACCCCGAGGCCCGGTGATTTTTCGCGGGGCCGCCCTCTCAAGGCCCCACGGCCAGCTTTTGGGTCGAGGAGGAGGAGGGGCAGGAGGACGAGGAGGTGATCAAGAGGAACCAGAGGAGCAGGAGGAGCAGGAGGACGAGGAGGTTTAGCAAAGGGGTCAAGGACGGAATGAAAGGTCCGAAGCGGATCCGAAACCAGACCGCGCTGAGCTGCAGGGTTTTCGGAACCGCTTCAGGCCACTCATTTCGTCCTTGTCCCCCTGCTCAACCTCCTCGTCCTCCTGTTCCTCCTTCTCTTCGTTTTCGTCTTGATCAACGCCCTCGCCCTCCTGCCCCTCTTCTTTCTCGACCCAAGAGCCGGCCGCAGGGCCTTGAAAGGGCGGGCCGGAAAAAAAGTCAGCAGGGGCCTCGGGCTGATTTTTTGTCTGGGGGGGGGCAGAGGCGTCCGCAGACGAACCCACGCTGAGCTGCAGGCTTCTCGGAGCCGCTGCGGCCCCCAAAAAAACGGCCCTGCAGGCTGTCTCGGAGCCGCTGCGGCCAAAAGAAGGACACTTTGCTGTTTAACTACGGGGTCGCTTTGTCGGCTGATTTTGGGCGCGTCGTCGACGTCGCGGTCGTCGCTGTCGTCGTCGTCGTCATCGTCGTCGTCGTCGCCGTGGTCGTCGTCGTCGTCGCCACCATCGTCGTGGTCGTCGTCGTCGTCGTCGTCATCGTCGTCGTCGTTGTCGTTGTCGTCGCCGTCCATAAGATGGCCCCAACAGGGCCCTAAAAGGGCCCCAAGAAGCCCAAGAGGGCTCCAAGAGGGCCCCAAGAAGGCTAAGTGCGCGGCAGCCCCGCGGGCTGCGTCGACCCTGTCGCCCCCCCGATCGCACCCGCGGGCGGTGAGGTCACCCCCCCCCCCCGTCAATTTGCCCGTCGACGGAGAGCTGGAAGCCGACGCGCCCCGGGTCGCCCCGAGGGGCGGGGTCGGGGAACGCAACGCGTCGAAGCAGGATCCCGATGATCCAGACGTCGGGCTGCGGGCCGAGATCGGCCAGCGCGAGCAGGTCCGGCTGCGCCACACCACCAGCTGAGTCGAAGAACTGGATCACCTCGTCCTCCGCGCAGCTTTCAATGAGTCGCGACAGGAACGAACGCCGGCGAGACCTTCGCGCAGGCCACGTCTGCTGGCATCTCCTCGCCCAGGGCCGACCGCAGCGCCACCGAGACATAGCCTATGGAGGCGAGCGCACCGATGTCGTAGGGGAGGCAGACGGCGGGCACCACGATAAGGAGCTTCTCCAGCTCGAGGTCGATGAGGTCGTCTTGCGTTACGGCGTCGGCGGAGACGGGGCCGTCGAGCCGCGCGAACTTGGCGCCGACGGCCCGGGCCTCGCACCTCGCTGCGGCGCCGGCAACGCGGGCCCCGGCTATGGGCAGCTCGAGCAGCCACGAGAGGAGCAGAACGTCCCTGGTCTGCTGCAGCGCGCCAGAAGGCAGCGCCGTCATTGTCCTGGTCCAGCCGATTGACAATGTATGAGTAGTCCCGCTGCACATCAAAGAACTTGTCGACTGCCTCGCCCAACGACGGGAACCGACGCAGGCAAGCCCGCCCACTGGTGCATTTGCCGTCTCCGAATCTGGCGACGATCGCCTGTCACACGACCGCGCCTCCCGCATGCACGCCGACGAGCTTATCGTTCGAACCCGGGGCGGCCCACATTGCGTAGTAGTGGCTGCCACCAGCAGGGGTGGCCCGAACCACAGGTTCGGCACCTGCCACCCTTCTGGGCTGCAAGCGATGGGTGCTGTCTCGGATGACGACCAAGGGGGCCCCGTCTGAATCCTCCGCCGCCTCTGGCGCGGCCTCCTCGCCGATGGGAGAGTCCCTTGAGTAGGCCTCGAATCTAGTGGCAAGCTCGTGGACCGCCCGCGCTCTGGCCGCTGGCCCTCCACGCATTAACGGCGGGCACGCCTGGCGCGCAGCGCAGGGCGGGCTCGGTCCGAGAAAACTGCAGAACATTTCTTTTGACTATAAGAAACGCTGTGCTCACATCGTTGTATGCGTTCGCACTGGCTCCTAACGCAAGTCATATTCATGCCCCCGCCTCTGTCCTCCCACCCAAACGACTCGGAAGCGAACAACGTCCCCTAACGACCACGAAGGGAGCTTGCAAGAGCACCCAGCATCTCAGTGCGATCCTCCCAGACCAAGTCGACGCCATCGTAGGGATCCCAGTTGAAGTCCTTCACGAAGCAGCCCAGACCCTCCAACAGACCAGCTGCCCCTCTCTATCGCTTGAGGCGAAGCGTGCCTGTGAGATACCACCATTGGCCAAAGACTAGGGTCAACCGACCAAACCCATAGCGGACAACATCTACCCCCTCCACGTGATCATCACGCTGCCTAAGAAGTTAAGGAAAACGATCGGATGCTTCGGCAGCATGGACACTTGAAAGCCCATGCGGCCACTCCAAGGGACGCGCGATGCTGCTGGAGTTGAAGGAACGTAGCTGGACGATGTGGACGGGATTATGGCATGAGGATGGACAAATCAGTTGCACATAATCGAAGGATAATCGAACAGATGGCGAAACTATCACGATAAGAGAAAGGGCCAGTAGAGGATGGAGGGGAGCAGGAAAGAAGGCACATAGTTGGCATAACTTGTTGTTACATTCCCCTGGCGGCGAAGCCAGAATCCACAGGCACCGAAAAGCCACCTGGCATGCAGAAGGGCCCAGTACGGAGAGGACAGAGGCTCGCCCGTGGCCCATGGCTTCGGCTGGGAATCCGAGCGTCTTCTTTCTCACTGAGGCAATCAGAACAAGCTGGACCGAAGAGCAACATGTCACGGCACGTGTCTACGCACGCTCACACCACAACTGGCGCTCACAGAACCTGGCACATGACCCAGTCGGCACCGCACATGGCCCAGTTGACACGGAGAGCGCCAGGAATCCCAAAGAGGGCACCGATACGCGCCAGGAGGCCCCAGTGAGGGCCCAAGGACAGCACATGAACATGGCAGGCACGGGGCCCCCAAATCTGTCACGGCACATGCAGGCCCAGTTTGCCCGCTGGCGCGACGACACGCGCTTACAAGACCAGCGAAATACAGACGCACACTCGAGAAGGATTGAAGAACGGCGCGAGCAGCTGACATGGACTGTGCAAATCACTGTTTCCGACAGAAACGCACGCATAGCCGCTGCCCATGAAGCCGTCATCACCCTTCGCCGCTTCTGTTCCGGAAGTCCATCACTGGCTTTATGCCCAAACAAGCTTGAAATGTCAAACCTGGCACGGAAACGCGAAGAGTAAAACCTCAAGAACAAACGGCCGATGATCCGCGACCGACTGTGACGGGCAAAAGCTGAATCACGGAATTCGGCTAAGCGTAAAGCATCCAGGAAGAACCCCCCAGATCGATCGAGGCACGTTCTCTGAAATTAAGGCAACGCACAAGAAAATCAAGTCGGTGCAATCAAGAGATGTTACTTCTATCGGGGCGTCGGAAAACACGATTGACGGGTCTGTGAGTCTACTGAGCCTCTGCCCTGGATGATATGGCTTAGGTGGGACTCTCCTGTCCAATGGTCGCATCGCGGGCGGCGCGAACACCCCTCACAAGCACATCCCGGTGCATAGCGCCTGGAAGAGCTCCTCGCAAAAACGCTCCGCATCTGCCGCCTATCCCTGGTCTCGGCGACTCGCCGAGGAAAAGGGAGAGGGGGCAGGCCTTCTCAGAAGGTGGCGGGGCTTCTCAGAAGCCCTTCAGCCTTCTGAGAAGCCCCCGTGTAGCTTTCGAGAAAGCTTAGGAAGCTTCTCACGAGGCCAGAGGAGCTTCTCGACCTTCTGAGAGGGCACGCCCCCTCCCGGACGCCTTGCGGCTCCTGTGCCTTAACTCGGCTCTTCCGTGGCCGTTCGCGACGATCTGGGCACCCTGGGAACGCTCTCGGCGAGGCGCAGCCGCTGGAACGCATCCCGCAGCTGAAAACCGACGAGACATGACGGAACTACCGAAAACCTCCTGCCTCGAACCCGAAACTCCCTGACTTCCCACCTGGGCCCGCCCGCCCTGCCTCCCCCGCCGGGGCGCGCCGCCGACAGGCGGCTCTTCTCCAGGGCCACAGATGATGAGTGGCGACACGCGAGCCCTGCCCCGCACCAGCCATCGATCCTCCTGAATCGATGGGAGCCGGGAGGGGGGGGGTCGGATTTCGACGAATTCCGAAACCTCCCCTCCCCAATCGGGTTGCCTGAATCCTTGGTCGGCGAGGGTGGGGTTCAGACTTCGCCGCCGAGCAGGAGAGCGGGCGAGGCGGGCCTGGATGTCGCCGACGACGCGGACGCGCATCGGCCCGGTGTCGGGCGCGTGCGCCTCTGCCTTGCGCCAGCCGCCCGGGGGGCCGTTCACGATCAAGCGGACCGCCGCCTGGGGGAGCACCCCTCTGGCCAGGAGAAGGAGAGACTGCTCCTCCTCCTCCTCATCCTCCTCCTCATCCTCCTCCTCGTCCCCAATCCCTCATCCTGCCAGTAACCTCGAGGCTTGTCGCCAAGGCGGGCCAGACGATTCGCATTGAAGTGTGAAACAACTTGATGGCTGGAGGGCGGGTCGTTTTCAAACTGTCATGTAAAAGCCTTAGCACCGCGCACATTCGTCTCACCCAGGCACCCCGGGCACCCCCAGCCACCTGGGCACCCGGGCACCCAGGCTGGCCACCGAAATCGGCGGCCCACCTCACCTAACCACATGTATCCGCTAGGACCCCCACAAGAGGCAAGCTCTGATTGGGGAACGATACCGGAGAAAAGTCCCAATCTAGATCCATTTAATATTTGAAAGAGCGTGATCCACCGCCGCTTTACTATAGAAAATGCCCCCCCCCTCTTCCTCCGGAACCCAGGGGTCCCCCCCCCCCCCGAAAATCCCCCCCTGCTGGAACCCCCCACCCCTCCCTTCCCCCCGGGAACCCCCCCCCGGGCGACCGGTTGTTACTGTGGCCCGTTGGGTGTTAGTGTGGCCCGTTGGGTGTTAATGTGGCCCGTCGCGCGGCGGGAAGGGAGTTACTGTGGCCCGCGCAGGCCGCTCAATGAAAAGTAATATGTAAAGGTATCTCATGTTAGATCTGGATAGATTCGCAACCCTTAGGGAATGCACTCCCGCGCAAGCAAAAGTGGCCACAGTAACTCTCATCTGGAACCAACGTGGTAGCAGTGCTGTGTCAGTGGTCGCTGTGCTGTGTCAGTGGTGTGGTGTTGGTAATGTTGTGTTAGTGATGTGGTGTTGGTAGTGGCGGGTTGTGCTGTATGCTGTGTTAGTGGTGTGGTGTATGTAGTGGTGTGCTGTGTTGTGGTGTGGTGTTGGTAGTGTTGTGTTAGTGGTGTGGTGTTGGTAGTGTTGTTGAGTTGTTAGTAGGTAGTAGTGTTGTGGTAGTGGCAGTGGTGCTGTGGTAGTGGTGTTCTGGTAGCGGTGTTGTGGTGTTGTGGTTGTGGTATTGTGGTAGCGGTGTTGTGGTGTTGTGGTAGCGGTGTTGTGGTGTTGTGGTACTGGTATTGTGGTAGTGGTGCTGTAGTATGGTAGTACTATGGTGCTGTAGTGTTGGTGTAAGGCAATATCATTCATAGGGAGTGCTAGTCCTACGGAGTACTAGCCGCAGGGAGTGCTAGCCCCAGGGAGTACCAGTCCTAGGAATTACTACCCCTAGGGCGTACTCGTCCAAGGAAGTACGCGTTCTAGGGAGTACTCGCACTACGGAGTACCAGCCCTAGGGAATAATAGTCCTAGGGAGTGCTAGTCCGAGGGAGTGCTAGGAAGTACTGGCGCTAGGGAGTGCTAGCCCTAGGAAGTACTGGCGCTAGGGAGTGCTAGCCCTAGGGCGCTACGGACGACGAGAAGAAGTAGTAGTAGTAGTAGTAGTAGTAGTAGTAGTAGTAGTAGTAGTAGTAGTAGTAGTAATAGTAGTAGTAGTAGTAGTAGTAGTAGTAGTAGTAGTAGTAGTAGTCGTAGTAGTAGTAGTAGTAGTAGTCGTAGTCGTAGAAGTAAAAATAGAAGTAGAAGTAGAAGTAGAAGTAGAAGTAGTAGTAGTAGTAGAAGTAGTAGTAGTAGTAGTAAGAGCAGCAGCAGCAGTAGTAGTAGTAGTAGTAATAGAAATAGTAGTAGTAGTAGTAGTAGTAGTAGTAGTAGTAGTAGTAGTAGTACTATAGTAGAGTAGTAGTAGTAGTAGTAGTAGTAGTAGTAGTAGTAGTAGTAGTAGTAGTAGTAGTAGTAGTAGTAGTAGTAGTAGTAGTGTAGTAGTAGTAGTAGTAGTAGTAGTAGTAGTAGTAGTGGTAGTAGTAGTAGAGTAGTAGTAGTAGTAGTAGTAGTAGTAGTAAGTAGTAGTAGTAGTAGTAGTAGTAGTAGTAGTACTACTACTACTACTAGTACTAGTACTAGTACTAGTACTAGCACTAGTACTAGTATTAGTACTAGTACTAGTACTAGTAGCTCGGAGAGCCCAAGAGGCTCTTCGGAGAGCCCAAGAAGCGCTTCGGATGCCCCAAGAGGCTCTCCGGAGACCCCACGAAGCTCTTCGGAGAACCCAAAAGGCTCTTAGGCGGCTGCAAGAAGGTCTTCGGCGGCTCAAAGAGGCTCTTCGAAGAGCACCCCCCTCCTTCACCGCACTCGATAATTAATACACTCCGGAGGACCCCTGGCCATACTAACACCCGCCGGGCCGCAGTAACAACCAACGGGCCGCAGTAACACCTTATCTCCCCCCCTAACCCCCGCCCCCCTCCGGAAAACCAAGGGGGTCATTACCGGTTCGAAACCCACCCACCCAGAAAACCAGAGAGGGGTCACTACCGCTTCGAACCCCCCCACCCGGAAAACCGAGGGGGGTCACTACCGGTTCGAACCCCCCCCCCCTCGAAAACAGGGGGGGGGTCACTACCGGTTCGATACCCCCCCCTCTCGGAAACTGGGGGGGGCCAATACCGGTTCGGACACCCCCCCTCCCCCCCCTTGAAGGAATTGGTCTGTTATAACTACTTATCAAAAGTTATAAGTAGGTTATAACTATGGTATAAGTAGTAGGCTATAAATAAGTTATGCTATGTTATAAAGAGCTGCCGCACTTTGAAGATTGCTGAGTCGGAGCCCTAGCCTGAGTTATAAAAAGAAATAACCCCGCTAACTGTTCAACATGGTTCCCACCATATCAACATAATCATACATTTTGCAGGGTGTACCCTTCAAAAAAAGAAGCGTTTGATCATATTGGTTGCAAGTGTTGCACTCCTCATTGCGACTTCTCGCATATCGTATCTACGCCGATCACAATTGCAATCACTGTGGATCCCCAGGTAGTGTTGCAACAATTGAGTTGCATGTTGCTTTTTTGGGGGAGGAACATGACATGTTGATTCCGTTGCCATATGGGCTCCAGGGCATTTCGCGCGCATCTTACTGTGCTCACGATGTGCAAGTTGTGTATTGCATTCATCTAAGGCATGCAGTCGCATGGAGCGGCAGCTAAGGATCTCAGATGCAAGGAGACAAAGGGAATTATGGACAAGAAGTTCGGATCTGATAACGCAGAGGTGGTGGATCTGCTTGAGCAGCGCAAGGCAATAGCTCGCCAGCATGGTATGCTAGTAACAGAGAAACCCAACAGCAAGTATATGTACGTGAGCCCAGAAAACAGATATGGCGACGGCGTCGTGCCGTCTGACGTCACTGACCTTATCATTAAGATTTTGAAAAATGGGTTCAGACACAAGCATCTGCTGATGCCTACGCGCGCCGAGATGCCTCCAGCGGGCACTGCGAAGCACCGCGAGATCAAAAAGTTTAACGACAAGATAATGACCGATAGCGCAAGACAGCTGCCGTTGCACGATGATGTTGATGGTGAATATCAGAGTTACACATGCGGCCATACATCGCAAGGTTTGCGATGCATCATACATGGCACGCCCGTGCCCGAGAGTCAGCCAGAGCGGTTCAGCGACATAAGCCAGGACCGGAAGATATCATTGCAGCGCCTCCAGCAAATGCAACCAGCATGTGCTGATGCGGCTCTCAACGGCATCGCGTGGGACCTCTTCAAGTGGCAGTCTGTCGAAGCGTTTCCTTTCGTTCCAGACCTTGCGCAGGAGACGGGCAACGCAGGGCAGGCCAGTGCCAAGTGCGAGAGCAGGCTGCAAGTCATGCCCAAGGTTGCGCAGTCCGCGAAGAACCGGAAGTAGAAATTGAAGCTGACGCCGAATGAGAGCTTCCCATGGGATAAGGTTCGGCGCCAGCGGGCAGGGGCGCAGTCTTCACGCATGAGATAGACCACATGGTGGACCATGTGAAGGAGATGTCAGGCGGGCTGGACGATCCAGTGTTTCTTCACGAGCTGAGGGACTTCTGCAGACACCTGACCAGAGCGACAATAGTAAAGTCCGATGTCGCGGCAGCCGATCGCGAAGGAGGGGTCGGGGGTGCAATTCAAGCTCGCACGCATGAAGGCAATGTATGGCCCTAGCAGCAAGTATAGGAAGGGCGACGAGCAGGCGCTACTGAAGCCCTCGGACGTCACTGTGTTGCAGAAAGAACACAAGGCGCAGATCGCGTTACAGGGCGATGTGCTGCTGCGATTGACTTCGGAATCGATGCATCGAGCGCTCGCCGGTCCAACATCATCGGGCTCGACAACGCTCGAGCGGCCCACTTCGTCTTCAACAAACGCGACGAGAGCCGCGGGGTATACAACCAGATCGCCGACGTCGCAGCCGACGCTTGGAAAACTATGGCTGCCAGCACTGGCAATAGCAACGTCCACTGCCCGTGGAAGGCCAAGGCCGTCGCGCATGCACCGCAGTGTGCTAGCAGCGCCCCCTCGACAGGTGTCAAGACCTTTGACCAGCATGGCGCGTGGGTGAACGCGTCCGAAAGGTTGGCTGTCAAAGGTTTCAAGGTGGGCGTGAAGGTGTACAACCGCCAGGAGGGCGAGGAGTCTGTGCATGTGATCAGGGCGATTGATGGGCAGAAGGTGAAGATGCAGACGGGCGACGTAGACCGCACCATAGATGCCGAGGACACCATGCGAAACGAGTTCACAGTACACGACATCCAGAAAGAGATAATCGACCAGTTTGGCAAGCGCAGCCCCATGAATTGCACGGGCTACCACTGGGGGGCCGAGGAAGCTCGGATCAAGATTGCGCTCGACGACGTCCATTCGCAACGTGGTGCTTGCCTCAAGCATATCACGGCGGTTAATTCCCCCAATCAAATACCAGGGGGCGTCAGTGAAGAAGGCGTTCCAGAAGGACGCCGTCGGACTTGTTCCGTTGACGACAACCATTTCGCTCAAGAAGGCGGCTGGTGAGACCAGCATTGGCAACGCTTCCCTTAAGAAGCATGCCGACCCTGCCAAGCAGACCGAGCACAACGTCGCGTCGATG